AAAACATTTATAACAATATGTCTTTGAATGGCTCATATCGACCAACAGATAAATCAGTTAAGACCATTTGGATGAGGTGTCATTGTGAAGCTCTATTTCTTATGGCTGCAGCTTATGATTATTTTCATTGTTGATTACTAATTAATAATTGATCAATTATTCTGACTATTGAATCAAAAGTCAAGAAATTGTGTCACAAGTCATTTACATTTTTTTCTAAAGCTCAAGCGTCTATCTGCTCAATGAAAATACAGATAAATACATTTTTTATTTTTTTGGTAATCAAAACAGATGTCAAATATTTTTATGCTTCGGCTTTTGTTCCATGTTGTCTCCATTTTCACTTATTGGAAAATCGTCACTACATCTTATTTTATTTTTCATCTTTATTTTATTCTCATTGCAAGCAGATGCCTCTGAATCTTGTTTTGATTCTGTTACTCTTCACTAAATCCTCTTCATCTGATACTGACGTAAATGCGTGTTGTTGTACACGATCACCTTTATTTGTTGTTCTGGAACCATATTCATCCACTGATCCGCACTGTATACAACCTCATAATGTGGAAGTTATTATATTTTCAGAGGAATAAATCAGCTGCTCTATTTTCACAGTTGATGCTCGACGATTTTAGTTTTCAACTCTTTTTTCCTCTTCAGTGCTTCCTAATCCGAGCCACGTACAAATCGGCAACTGTAGAAACAACACATCTTAAACACATTGTTTTAAACTCTTGTCTTGTTTGGCATGTTCCCATATGAATCAGGGGTTTCTCTCTGCTCTCTTGAGGTGGTGTTGGTGTTCCCTGGTCCAGGGGCTGTCTCGGTTCAAGACATGATGCAGTGTTTGCGTGACAGGTCTGACAGCGGGTCACATGACTTCGATGAACCCAGCATAAAGAGGCTGAAAAGTGAGGAAGTTCAAGGCGCCACACACACTGCAGAGAGCGCGGAGACCCCAGATGAAGCAGAGCGCTCAGAGTCAAGGGTGTATCCCCTACAGAGGGTGGTCTTCATTGACAGCACGTGGAACCAGACCAACAAGATCAGCACAGATGAGAGACTGCAAGGTAATTGCATTTAAGCAGCTTTTTCAAGAGCTTCGACTGTTGATGATTATAAAGGTCAAATTTACTTTATATACAACTGTTTAACATGATCTCACCTGCGTTGTCTCGTGTTTTATTCCAGATTTGCTCCGGGTCGAGCTCAGGACGAGGAAAACATGTTTCTGGCGCCATCAGAAAGGCAAACCAGACACCTACCTGTCTACTATTGAGGCTATTTATTATTTCCTCAGGGACTTCCATGAGCATTGCTTTGCCCGGGAGTATAACGGAGAATATGACAATCTTCTCTTCTTCTACTCCTACTTGCACTCAGTTGTCAACAAAGCCAAGATTTCTGCTGGAAAGTGCTGATGAAGGCTGGGAGGAAAAACTGAAATCAGCTCCAGGAGACTGATGACCTGTAGCTGAGGTGGAGACTCGCATGCAAGCTCCGGCCTGTGGCTGAATGACCTTTAATTTTGTGAGGGAAACTGAGGCACTATACTATAAGCAATAAAGCGGTTTTTGTTAAGAGTTGCGTAACGTGAATGATTTGTGTCGGAAACATGCGTAATTACAGTTCATAGGATGCTCCATATACTTACAATTTTAAATATAATAATGCACAAGACAAAATGGACTTAGATATGTTTAAATATTTTATTTACAAATCAGCAGTTTCATATCCCTTGGTTTGAAAAAATCATCTGCAGTTACAGTTACTTATGTTGCAGACCCAGTAAATCTATTCTCTGGAAAAATATTGATCTGAAATCCTGTAGTATCTGTCAACCTGCCTGTGTTTGAGAACTACTGTACATGATAGTATAGAGGGCGTTACTTAGTAGAAGGCCTCTCTGATCTTGGCTTGCAGGCTGTCACAGGTCTTCTTGGCATCTCCCAGCAACATGGATGTGTTGGGCTTGTAGAAAATGGGGTTATCTACGGCAGCGTAGCCCACGCCCAATGTACGCTTCATCACAACCACCTGAAAAGAAATTAGGCAAGACGTGTGTGTGTGTTATCTTTTGCACCACACCAACAAAAAATTGTTATATCTCGACGTCATTTACGAGAAACAAACAAACCTGTTTGGACTTCCACACCTCCAGGACGGGCATGCCGGCAATGATAGAGTTGGGGTCTTCTTGTGCAGCAGAATTCACCGTGTCATTGGCTCCAATGACCAGTGTCAAGTCTGTTTCTGTGGGCCACAGAAATGTACAGATATATTTACTTAAAACAGATGAAAGCGCTGACCGCAAGCCAAATTGTCCTTGCTAATGTTTCTGGGTTCTCCGGCACCACACTTATCTCCCTTTGTCATAAACAGAACCATATGTCTCAGACTGCATGCCTGGTTGCTAAGAAAACAAGACTGTTGCCCAGATAACATGGCACGTCTAAATACCAAGACACAACTCAAGGCTGCTGCAAGTGTAGATGAAAGAGGGTTGCAATTATTAGATATAATTGTTCTAGTAATATTATCCAACTCCTCCCTGCCAAAGTGAAAAGATTTAGATAATAGCAGTAAATATTTTTTAAAAACAAGTTTACCAGGGAAATCTTCATTGATCTCATCCATCTCCAGGACCACATCATAGGGAACTCCGGCCTCGGCCAGGAGGACGTTCAGCTGGCCGGGCATACGGCCGGCAACTGGGTGGATACCAAACCTGTCGGAGATGGACACGAAATACTGCCCTTCATCAACATTTTAATTCAAAACACAAAACTCCCTGATCAAGATGCCCAAAATATAAAAATACACCTCTCTTTCAAAAATAAACTGATCTGTTGTAACAAGCAGATATTTGACTTGAGAAGCAGTAGCAAAGTTATGAGGGAAAAAAAGCATCAGGAATGAAGGTGTTGAAGCATTTGTTTATTTATTCAGTAGGACAGACAGTTACCAGGAAACTTAGTAGGAAGATGAGGTCAGAGAAGAATCTGTTTAAGTTTAGTGGAGGTTTGGATCAAAGGGCAAATAAATGAATTTTCTTTTCACTTTCTTTAACAATGTGAGAATTTCGGAGTTTTGCAACATTTTTTCGTGAATTCTCAGAATAATTCATGGATCTTGATGAAAAAAATCAAACGTGCAGATCCAAATAAAAATCTAGAATCTAGGAAATTGAATTAAGGTTTATCGGGACTGACTGACATATTATGAGGAGCTCTGTTTGTTTTGACGTAGTTCAGGATTCACAGCTAAAACTTACTGAAGACGACAGTTGGGCCTCGGTGGAGGTATGTGTTCTCTGAGTGCCAGTCTGGTTTATTATGTATCATATGACTTGATGATTATTATCACTGATAAATGAATGAGTTTTCACACGTTTCCTGTTGGAGGTGAATCTGCTATTAACTACTGAATTTGCTTTTGAATAGTTTGAACAATATTCTTGCATCATTGTGTTTAAAATCACATCAAATCTGAAATCGACTGAATACTGTTTTTATGTAAAGAAGTGGATTAAAGCATTTCTACGGATAAGTCGTGGCACAGAAGCAAAAAAAGCAAAACAAATTACAATACTCATCTGAGATTGTACTTGAATGCAGTAGTAAAAAATAGACTTCTGTCTTTTAATACTCTCTTTAAAATGTACTTTGCCATTTTCCACTCGCCTAAGAGGAGACAAAATACTTCCCACAAATCACCATGTGTTTTTTTTTTAGAACTTCTAATTTAAACTTGGCTTCTAAAAATAAAAATCCCTGACGGTTGACTCTCGGTTTGACCCCAGCTGATGCCAGAGAAGCAGCAGTAATCTCATTGGTTTAGGACATGAGCGCAGAGACTCACCTGACGCTCTTTCCCTGCTCCTTCAGCATTTTCACCATGTCCGCAATCGGGTACTGAGCTTTGGCTGCACACAGACCCCAACCTGAGTACACGAGAACAAACAATTACACAAACACAAAAGTTGCATTCTTAATCTTAGGATAGAATCCACTTTATTTTACAAGTGTCTAGAGGTTCTGTAAGCCCTCCTTGTTTTTTTGTTTTATCCCATTATCCACTTTCATATTGTGGATTTTGTGTTCTCAGTATTTAACGCGGTTATTGTTCTTTCTTCAGTGGAAGCACAGCGATCCAGTTCTTCTTTCTTTGTCCCCCTCATTCACCACAAGTCTCCTCTCTCTATTAAATCACAGTGGTTCATTGATCGGAGAGGCATTTCACAGACGGAAACTTTTGCATGTGTGGCGTGTTCATGTGGGTCCCCTGCGTGCAAAGAGCTCCTTCCCCTGTGTGTGTGTGACCCCTGTTTAACCCTGGTGGTCAGGTACCTTGCAGAGTTCAGCATTACCCAAATCGGGTTTTTTAAAGCGAGTCGACCGTAACCTGCATCTTCTAATTCCCCAGACAACTGGAGCCTTCTGTTTCCTCACTGCCGTGCTTTGTTGTTGACGGCGCATGGAGAAGTCGTGAGACTCAATAGCTCCTATGACTTTTCACTGTTTCTCTAATCAAAGCAGCATGTTGGACCACACAGCTGTCCCTGCGTTGGTTTGCAGCCATTGCAAAACAACAGCAAGTATCCAAGTTATTCGAGAGTGGTTCCTGTTGCTCCGGCCGCTCTGCAAGCACTCAGACGAGCCGGGCTTTTTCTGTCTAATAAATCACTGTGTGGTCATCATCTCACACTCAAAAATCAATCCCATCAACTGGTTGCTAACATGCACTGACTCTCACTTTATTCACTGCATTTGTTTCTCGAGACCCCGGGTGGCTGTGGGAGCATTTGTGGATAAACTGCTCCCTCTTGTGTTCACCGTGCCTCAGTTTTCCAGCTTTAATTAATTGCAGTCCAATCAGTCAGTCCAAGATTCTGACCACTTCTGAACGTTTTGCAAAAACGGGCAGCTTCTCCAGAGCTGCTGCACAAACACTGTTGATCTGCAGTTTGGCAGCACGGTCAGGCTCGACGTTTTTTGTCAGATGGGGTTAATCAGATGGGAGAGAGCGTTGACGTTATTGATCCTGACATGTTGAATAGCTGCAGCTGGAGTGCAGAGGACGATCCACCCCGTCCAGTGATGAGGAAATCTGATATTAAAAAGCTTTCTCTTTTTCACCTGCCTCTTCAAAAGACTCCAGATGCTTTCAGGAGCGTCTCTACTTCCTGCTGCGGAAGAAGCTTGTTTGAACGCATGGTTGAAAAAAATCACCCAAATCTCCAATGGAATTAAATAGCAAACAGAAGTAGATGACCTTTTGGATGGTTAATATTGGAAGAGTATTAACCAAATTCCTCATGCAGTGAACACATTGACTACAGTGTTTCTCACAAAGGTTTTTAATGAATGCTGTTGATCAAGTTGTCTGTTGAATCAGGTCAACACAAAATTAGAGTTTAAATTCGAGCCTGACTGGTTTTGTGCTGATTAAAAAATCAGGGACAAAATAAATGTTGAATTAAACTTCTGTCAGTGTCTCATCAGTGTTCACTGTGTTCATGAGTTGCATGTACCTGGTGTGATGATGATGCTGTTGGCCTCTTTGATTATGTCAATGGTCTGGTCCACGTTGACCTCAGTGTGAGTGCCAACAATCTCCATGGGTTTACCGCCGGCTGTGGACGTGGTGCCGTACCCGCCCAGGATCACATTGGGCAGGGAGCGGTTCATAGCCTCAGGAGAGAAGAGGAGAAGAACTCACACTGAGGGAAAAGTGCTGAGTGTGTCGTGCACATGTGGACAGATGTGTTCGTCTACTCACCACACACATAATGTAGGAGAGGATGGCACCGGAGGAGCCGATCAGAGCTCCTACGATCGTCATGAGGTTGTTTTCCAGTAAGAAACCTTCAGCGCACAGAGCCCAGCCAGAGTAGCTGTTCAGCACGGTGATGACCACGGGCATGTCAGCACCCCCGATGGCTGCTGTCAGAGTTACACCCTGTTGGAAGTGATGGGAGGCCGCACAGGTGAAAACAAGTTGCAGTTGGCAAAAGAATTCAAGTTAAACTTTTATTAAAACCAACTTTGTTTCCAGAGAGAGAAAAAACGATATTCAAGAAAGCTCTGCAACAACAGCAGAGTTTTAAAGTGTGAACATATGCTATGATAAATTATTTTATCTTTATAAATATACATGCAGAGGAATCGCAACAAGGACGGCAAGGCAGGAAATTTCCTCAGCCCCCCCAAGAATGATTGATTATGGTTTGGTTCAACATAGGGCCCCCAGGTTCCTTTTGCCTGGGGCCCCCAAAGTCCCTTGAAACACTCCTGTCTACATGGGTAAAGGAGGTTAATGAAAAGGATGCAATGTCTACTTTGAAAAAAAAAAAAACTTTTTAAAATCACTTTTCAAAAATAAACTGTTGAATCATGTTGAAAATCTTCAATCTTTTCATTCTTCTAACTTCTCATTTCCTCGTGTTCCTGAAAAACTCACCATAACAGTGGAAAGCCCCGACACTCCCATCAGACACCCCATCCCTGTACCATAGCTGGTGCTGAGCATGAAAGGCACCATGCCTCCGACCGACGCCGCCATCAGGCCGGCGTTCAACATGTGTCGTCCTGGCAGCATCAGGGGGGCGGAGTCCAGCATGCCTGCAAGGAAAAAACATTTTCAACTCACATTTTCGTTAAAAAATGACGAGCCACACTTTGGTTCAGCTGAAGGGAAATAATGTGACGAGACGGCACGTGTGTCTTTGAACCCGGACTCTTCTCTGTGGAGGCCTCTGAGATTCTGACCAATCCACAAATCAAACAGCAGCCCTCCTTCAACCACAGCCTAGCAGCCACTGCCAGCCACTGCCCTGCCCATGAGCAAATTACCGGAAAGCTTCACATGTGATCCTCTTGATCATTCACATTGTGATATAAATTGGTGAGTCTTGGTCTGGATTTACGAGAGGATCTTTGGCTTTAACTAGATGAAAGAGACAATCAGTGCCAGAGGACGTCCAGCTCAGTGTGTTTAGACAGATATTAGTGAGCAACGATGAGATTGGAAAAGGAAAGAGTCTTCTGACTTTAAATCACAGGAAATGCACAATACACATACTGTCCTGCAGATGCTACGAATAATAAGATGAAACCGAGTACCTTGAAGTTTGCCATAGGCCACCAGTGAACCGCTGAAGGTGACGCCTCCGATGTAGGTGCCAAGATACGCCACGGTTTTAAGAACGCCAGCGGCTGGGTGAGTGTCCAGGTGGGGGAACTCGATCATGAACTCGGCGACGCAGGTGAGAACGGCTGCCAGCCCCACGAGGCTGTGGAAGGCCGCCACGAGCTGCGGCAGGTCGGAGATTTCAATACGCTTGGCGATGGTCAGACCTGCAGTCGAGAAGAAGATCAGTCCAAAAGAGGAAATTAAAAAATAAATAAAAGGACAAATTTCTCAGTGAGTTACTATGTTTGGCAAAGTCAACCACCAGACACTAAACTTATCATGCACACTGGCTGGGTTTAAGTTTAAAAAAAAAACATTATGAAGTAAAAAGTTAGAAAAAAAAGTGAGAATGCCTAAAGAGGCAAACACCTGTTTTCAGTTACAGAGCCTGGTCTTCAAAGCCGATCTGATTGAACATGAGTCAAGTACTTAAGTGTGTTTTCTCGAAAACACAGAGACACTAATTTAACACCGAGTAAACCCCCCTGCTCTGCATGTGTGCTGATGATAACATCATTTATCATCCTGCTTTCTTAAATTACTATTAACAAGTACGACATTCAGACACGATGACGACATCCACTCGTCTCTGAGTCTGGACAGGATGATTGATGCTCTGTAATGAATTAGCATAAAGGAAAAAAAAGTGCAGGACCGTAGGAGTCGCATGCAAAGTTAAGTAAACTGTTGGAGTTGAAAAGAGCTGCGCCAGAGCTTTATTATTTTTTATTTCTTTTTAAATGGAGACTGGCAGCCAGAGAAACCTCGTTGGTGCGCAGTGGTGGAGGAACTTTTACTCAAGTTAAAATACAATTAAATAGACAAAAATGTGCTCAAGTAAAAGTCACAGTAAAACATTAACTTTTCTACTTAAAGTAAAAGTTCATGCTTGTAAATATACTTAGTGTCTAAAATCAAAGCGCTCGACCACATCTTTAACTGTGCCCACTGTATATTATGTTAATACAAGAATAATACAGATGAATAAATAATGCTGCAGATGATACTTTATAGTTCATATGAATTAACGGAGGTGGCCTCTGCAAATCCAGCAGATATAGTGGAGTGGAAAGTAAAGATATTTAATTATATATGTAGCTGAGCACAGATACATGAAAAACTTACTTGAATACATAAACAAAGTAAATGTACTTTGTTACATAAACCACTGATGCAACTGAAAACTGCATTGTTCATATTAATTAATGGCAGAGTCTCATCACCAGTGATTCTGCAGTCACACTTTGCTCTGATTAACGGATGTAGTTGATTGTAATGTAAAGATATTTGCTGATATTTGTAATCAAGTAAAAGTGAAGTGCCTGAAAATAATCTACTTAAGTTAAGATAGATGGAAAGTGTACTTAAGTAGAGTTTATCAAGTGTTTGAAAAGAGCACAGGGTATTGTGTGCATCTCAACTGTAGATCCTCTACAAGCAGGAAGTTACCGACCAAGGGTTCCTCCAGTGGCCATGGCCAGAGACATCTGAGACAGCAGCTCTGGCGAAGGTTTGAGGGCCCCGAGCGTGGCAGCGATGCCCCCTGCCACTCCAATCATGCCCAGGGTGTTGCCCAGGCGACTGGTGCCCTGAGCAGAGAGGCCGGCCAGCGCCCCGACACAACACATGCCTGAGCCCAGGTACATCATCTAAAGTAAAACCCCCAAAAACATGAGTTGAACTTATTTGTGTGAATGATTATCAAGTAATACACAAACGGAAAAAAAGAATATTGAGTGGTGGCAATAAAAGCTGAAATAATTGGTCAACGAATCCATTAACTCACTGACAGATATTTAGTCTTTAAAGTTTATCATGTGTAAGTGGAATGATGATGTGTGTACTGTCACCTGCTCAATGCTGTATCCAGCTGCCACTGAAGCTCCATATCCGCCCACAAATGCAGCTCCAGGCAGGACATACAGGTAGTTGTACTCAGGAGGGTCCGTGGGACGCTTGAACATGTCCAACATCCTCTGGGTGATCAGAAAACCACCTGCACACACACACACACACACACACACGCACACACACAACATATTTAAGGGGTTGAATGGATAAAGGATGAATCTTGTTTTCTGTTGTTCTGTTTGTGTTGGATATCAGACCGGCAATGTTGATGGAAGATACAAAGGCAGCAGCCAGAGCGAGACCCTCGGGCAATGAGGAGGGGGTGAGTCCTCCGCCCATCAGCACCAGACCACCTACTGCCGTCAGACCTGACACAGAGAGAGCAAACATTAAACATCTCAGAAACATCTCACTTGTCCGTGACCACTTTATGTTGGCTCCTGACCTGAGATGGCATTTGTGACAGACATGAGGGGGGAGTGCAGAGCGGGGGTCACACCCCACACAGTGTGGTATCCCACAATGCCCGCTAAGCCGAAGGTTGTGACCATCTGAGTGAAAGCTGCGTTGGGGGATATGATGCCCAGAGCCAGACAGGTGGAGAGACCTAGAGAGAGGCAGAGCAGAGCCGTGTTGTCGCCCTTTAATACGTCAGTGTTATTTTCACCCATGTCCCGTTTGTTTGTGATTGTTCGTTAGCAAGATAACACGAAAACAACTGTTCGGATTTTCACTAAATTTTTGTGGATGGATGCCGTATGGGTCAGGGAGGAAGTCATTTTATCTTTTCAGGATTTTTCTTTCACATTGCAAGACACAGCACTTTTAAAAAATTTCACCTTTTTGCAAAAAGAATCAGACATATTTAGGGAAATGATATTTATGAGTTTTTAAAATTTAGCACAGCTTGTTTGAATTCAAGGGGACTATGGTGCAGGTCAGAGCAACTTTCTACAGCTTAATAATGTGTAGTTCCAAACGTTTTCCTCTCCTAATTTACCACTGAGGCAATAGAACAATTTAACATTAAAACCACACACTTCTAATTATTACATTTTATAACAGTGATGCAAGTTTAATGATTCTTTGTTTTTCCGAAACTTTAAAGATCAGAAAATTATTTTCCGAGTGTGTCTACATTTAAAAGTCCAGTTAAGATACAGTGATCTCAGCAACAAAGAGATAATTTTAGCAAAAAGGCAAAACCCATTTTTTATTATCAGTCCCCTGATGATTTTTTCTATCAATCACTTGCTCAATAAAACATCTGAAAAAATAAAGGGAAAAAAATCTCAATGATGAAACTTCCAAGCCGGAGGAGTTGGAAATTCAAAACCAAATATACTCAGTTCACGATGATGTACGACAAAGGAAAAGCAGCAGATATTTACAACTTAAAAGCTCTCAAAATTTGAATAAATCAACCAATTGTACCAGCTCTATTTGGAACTCCTTTATATATTGCACAACCAAAATATAACATCAGAATAAGAAGAAATTATGAGAGAATTAGGGCTTGAAAAATTTAAGCCAAACAAAATAAATTATTTTGCAAAGAAATTTGAAAAGTATCTTTCAAATCCCTCATTAAAAAATAATTTGTAGTGCTTGAAATTCTGCCACACGTCTGGAAGTCTGAGTGTTTGATTGAACTGTGTGTTCGTGTCTGACCTGCAGTGTAGACGCCAGCCGAGGTCATGGTGCGGTTGAAGGGGGAAATTGTTGCCGCTTTCTCAGCCTCCAACTCGATGACAGATTTTTGTTTTATTGGTGCTGGGGGGACTGTTTTGGGCAGCGGGGATGGGAACATGTTCTTGCCTTCCTGGATAGACCAGAAAACACACACACACGAGACGACCAGTGTGAGAACACAGACCATGTCCGCAGAGTTTTGCGTGAGAAACACACATCAAGACTCGACTGGAGTCTTGCGTTGTGGGTGATCTCGCCTGGATGGCGGGAGCACTCGCACGGACAACACAGGAGATTACACTGAACAAACAGCAATCACGCAACCAGTTAGTGGAGGTTTCCAAAGATAAATTCTCTTTTAAGGAGCCTGAATAATGCTTAGTTTGATGAGGGGTAAACCGATATGTCCTGTTGAGGTTGCATGCTCTCTCTGCCATAAACAGTGTGTCAGAGTCAAAATTCCTGGACAAGTATATTTTGAAACGTTCATAACATTCTTGCTGGAATCCAACATGAGCTATTCCCAGCTGGGATCTGGTTTTTAGTAGTTATTTGGCGCCGGATCATAGCATGACAGGATCCGATAACTCAAGCTGAGAGTGAGGGACGCCAGCGGAGATGGAGGCTGCCAGCAGACGGCTAAAACAAATTTAAAAAACCCACCTTCATAACGAGCGTCCCGCGGATGACATGGTCAATTGTTCCATAGTCAAACTCGTCTGTGGGCTCATAGTGGAAGTATTCCTTGTCGGGGCTGATGGCCTTCAGCAGCTTCAGTACGTTGTTTGAGTACAGAGTGCTGGCCTGCGAGGCCATGCGACTGGGCAGGTCTGTGAAACCAATGTGTGTCACTCCCTGCTCATCAAAAGAAAGGTTAACCATTAGTCGGTTTCAGGTGAATAACACAGAACGCCAGTTTGTTTTCTTTCCTCACCTTGTGGACATACAGCTCACCAGGCACCGTGGTCTCGATGTTGCCCCCCGCCTCCGCAGCCAAGTCCACCACCACGGAGCCGTCTTTCATCGACTCAACAAACTCCTTCTTGATCAGGATGGGAGCTCGTTTCCCTGCGTTAGAAGTGAGGGGGATAAAACAGACAGATGACATGAATCAAATATCTTCTCGACAATTTCTAGCCACAAAAAAAACAAAACATGCTTTATCAAGTTGTTACGGCTAAAATGCTCCCAATCGATTTCCTGCTCATCATCAACAGATGTGAGGCAACATCAGTATTCAGTTCACATCGGTAAAGTTCCAACATTTACCATTTGTACCTCTGCCAAGGAGGTTGTGTTTTCATATGTTTATTAGTTCGCAGGATCACGCAAAAACTCAAATGATTTCCAGGAGATTTCCTGGAGGGGAAGAGCATGACCCAAGGAAGAACCCATAAAATGCTGGTGCACATCCAGAATTTTTCTTACTTTCTTTAAAACGGCGTGATAATACAAAAGTCAATACATAAATTAATAAATTCAGCCGAGGCCAATAAATAAAAGAGAAGGAGAAAGAGCCGGCGCTACTGACCTGGAATCAGTGCTGTGCTGATGACAATGTCAACCTCTTTACACTGCTTAGCAAAAAGAGCCATCTCTGCATCAATGAACTCTTTGGACATCTCTTTGGCGTAACCTCCGACCCCATCTCCAGACTCTTTGATGTCTACCTCTAAAGGCTCCGCCCCAAATGACTTGAACTGTTCCAGGGCTGCCGGCCTGACACAGGAGGACACGCTCAGGTTATCATCATCATCATCATCATCATCATCATCATCATCCTCATCATCACAGCCTTCATGTAATAGTCTGCTGATTTTTTTTATTCCCCTTCATCTTGTACCTGGTGTCAAATCCTCTCACTATGGCTCCCATCGACTTGGCTGCACCTGCTGCAGCTAAACCAGCCACTCCACCTCCGATGACC